GAACAAAATGAATGAACAGATTAATCAAAGTACTGTCCATCGCTGGCTACTGCTTTTTCCCACCTCTCAGGCAATTTTCGAATTCCATCTCGAAAAAATGTCTCGTCTTTTGAGGCGATTCAAGTTAGGAGCCAATTTTTGATTTCTGCGAAAGAAGTGAACTGCTGACCTGCCAAATCATGCTGCATCCGTCGGGACAACCAGTAATCAGAAGGAGCAATGTCCAGAGAATATAGTGGGTTGCGGTAAAATATCCCACTTGAGCATTTCCAAATAATTTTGCACGACTTTTGCGACATCAGGCTGACCGAAGAGTAGGCTGGCAGAAGAATAGCTTTTTCATGTCTTTGCTCGTATTCCGGCTGTTTTTCTCGTAATGTACTGCTCAAACGAATCAAATGCAGCCTATACCGATCACCCGTAATGGAATCACCAGTTTGTATCAGCTCAAAGTATTCAAAACTATTCACCATTCTTCATTCATCATTCACCATTTTTCATTCACCGTTAACCATTCTTGAAACGTCGAAACTATTTCCTACATGATTTATCAGTTGGAGCATTGTCACCTTAAACTTCTACAAGCATTCGATGCTCTTCAGCTGCACTTTTCTTCCAATTAAAGCAGATGCATAAAACCTCCCGCAAATGGTGCTTCGTTACCACAAAACTTGACATACTGAACAAAGTAAAAAACGGGGGTTTTGTATGAAACTCAAAGCGATATAAACTGAATAATATTGACAGATGTTAAACCTCTCTTAAACCACCGAAACCATCTGTCACTATGAAGCATTCATAACAGCAGAGCCATCTCTAAAAAACGGACCGAACTAATTTGTACTCCCAATATATATATATAATGAATGAAATGAGCTTATTTAACTTAAAAACAGAATAGCTGAATTCTGGTTGAAATTAAACATTCAAAATTCAAAAATATACTTTCCAAGAAAACGATAAAAATTTAATTAATAATCAGCACAAATGAATACCTTTTCAAGTAATTCGGATGATTTTTCATTGTTTTTCTTCGTATTATATAGATACAGAAATATATACCATTTTATAAAGTTGAAGAATACTCTTTAACTATCACAGTTCTGAAATAACATTTATTCATTGGTATAAAGTAACCAATGTCGAAATAAATAACTTCTCATTTGCTGCTAAAAAAAGTGTTCTTCTCCCCAAAGATTCTGTTTGAACTAAATAAAAGTCTAAAAATCCCGCTAGAAGGCGTTTATTCAAGCCTTTCTTTAGCGAATTTTAAACAGCCCCGATTTTAGTTCGATGAAAAAAATCAAACTAAAATATACTTTTCCCGTTATTTAACTGATATTTATTACATGCAAATTTCATTTCATCACATGAATAATCTCAATTTGTTAATTAATGTTGCAGGATGATGAAGAAGTGTTTATTGTGTGAGTATTAATGTTCTTTTCTTTAGTTTTGCTTATCTGTAAACTTAATGTAATTTGCTAAATTAATATTTATATAGTTTATAAAGTAAGCAATAAGATAAAATAGCCATTGCATTTGAACGATACTAATGACTTTTTCTCCATTCAACATTCTGACTTTTATTTATTTTTCAATATTTAGACCATGTTAAGCAAGTGCTTTCTCAATTATGTAATTATGCTCACATTTTTAGTGATTTTGATGTTAACATCTGTTGTTTTAATTCATACACAGTAAAAACTTTAGTGTATCTCAACACATAAAAAAGGTGATGATTATTTTATATTAAATTAGAGTAGAACAAAGGGTAGTGAAACGCCTGTTTTACCCAATTTGGAGCTAAGTAGCTTCCGAGACTGTTTTTTATGTAGCAAGAATTGAATTGAATGTAGGGTTTATTGGCACAGAATCTAAAAAAGGACATGCTGCGCCAAATAATATTATATATTTATGTAATCTAGCAAACGATCGGTACTACTACCTCAATTTCTAGATATGATGCGTGTTCTCTGTTCATTTTATTCGATCATCGTTTTTTTTCCTTCTTTCATACTATGATGAATGAGCAGTTAGTTTAACTTTAAGATGTTTAGATTCAATTACTACTTGAATAGATTGATAATTTTTGCACGAAGAACGAGCAATAAACTCCGTTTCTCATAAAACGGAGCTGTAGACTGTCAAACATAACTGACGCAATCTTTCAAACATTTGTTTAATATTAATAGTGGCCCACCTACCCCTGGAAGAGTTTTCGGATAAGGGTTTGATCCGTTACCACACTAGAAATAAACGCTAAAAGATTACAGTGAAGTAAAATTAAAACAAGTAAAGATTAATATGCATAATGAAACATCACACTATCAGTGACATGAAAATTTAAAACAATAAATCTAATACTTAAAATCATGTAGGAAAGTCAAAAATACAAAGTGGATAAATGAACGCGAAATGTGCAAGAGCAGATAGCTCAGCATCCCCAATGAGATTTATAACATTTGAAATCAATCATAGTAATTCCAAAAGAGATTTATAGTAAAAGCCAATATAAAATTTCGGGGAAGGACATCAAAGTGTAAGACTATCGTAAAAGAGGTCTCCAATGGCCAAAAGTTCTCTATGGAAGGCCCTTGAATAACAACTAGTCCAAGTGTCAGACTTAAAAGAAAAGATCAAAGAGATCTTAAGGAGAACCAGAATTCTTAAAAGCAAGTCAAAAGCGCCTAAAAAAATCTAAAAGAATAAAATGAACCGAAAATAAAAGTGTCAAAAGTACAGTTAAAAAACGTGTGAAGAGTAAGTTCAGGAAAAACATCAAATGGTAAAAATAAGAAAAGTCACATTAAAAACATATAAGATCTAAAATAAGATTGATAAAATAACTAAAATAGTCGACTAAAAGTTCAAAAAAGTGCAAGTGTCCCCTTTTCAAGACAATGCGCCTCTAGTATTAAAAATGTTTTAAGGTATACTAAAGTTTTTCTTAAAAAAATAAAAAATAAAAGAAAATGATACAAGCTAAGACTCAGGGTGCTGAAGTTCACTAAGAACCAAAAATTCAGTTCGAGTGTCCTATTTATGATGAGGAGTTTAGTCCAAGGGGAGGACAAAGTTACCAGAGCAATCGTAAAACGTTTGCTCGGTAATGATGGGAGTTGTCACAATTAACACAAATTTTGCGGTAGAGCACCTAAGTCAAGCATCACTGGCTGAGGTTAGTAAGAGGGTGGGTAACCACTTTGCTCACCCTACGAAAGAACCGAGGGTGTGCGGAATCGGTCCCAATTAAACTGTTCTACCGTAAAGTGCTCGACTTCACGCGCAGGTCGTAAAACTACTAAAGCGGAGGAGCTATCCCTTCAGCAGAGAATCAAAATTGCGATGACCTTTCCTTGATCATCTTCAGGGATGTTTCTCGATCCGTCAGCAATAGCCCATTGGGCAGCTCTTGTGAGACGGAAATAAAATACTTATCTACTCATTCTTAGCCCATGGAACACATAAGCAAACTTACATGTTTTATCCGGAATGATGGTCTGCTATAGTTCCGATTTGAACATCCAAATCTGTTTTAAAGCCCAGTTTACCATTAGTGTGTCGTTCAATGAGGATAACTTGGCAAAAACGTGTTTCTGGCGCTCACTTGATGAAAGTTTAACCTGAATTAGACTTTAAACTGGAATCGTCAGAATACATTACGCAAGCCCAATGTGACCGCATTGCATGCTCTTTACTCTTGGCTAATCGGGGCCCCGACAGTGAGTTAGCCCGAATGGAACACATCCGGCAGGCTTGAGAGCTCAATGTTTCCTAATCGTCTGTGCACGGTTTACCTTATAATTGTGGTTTCAAATGGCTGAACAGAATGACCGGATGCTGTACTCCGTTTGCTTCCTTCGGCTTGCTAATTATCGGTCTTTATTCGGTGGTACTGTAAGTTGGGAGCGACCTGTACTGTTGGAAGCGACCTGTCATCTGTTCTGCGACAATGTCGCTGCGATTCTAAATATGCTTTGAAATCTTAAGAGTGAGCTAGAAAGTTTCTGAGTAAATACAGTGATTCCATATGACTCTATATTTTGGCTGCATGTTCCAGAAATGCAATGATTTGTTCAATCTTATTGCAAAATAGATCGCAATGTTTCTTGAAACATTCACTTAAATTTTAAAAAAAAGCTTGAGAAAACTTTTACTATTATTTCAATTCTGAAGAATAAAAAGAAAACAATTCTAAATAGTGTAAGGAATCGATGGCATTAAAACCTATTCATACTGTGGTTAATGTCGAATTTTCGGTGAATCCACTGGAAAACAAGAACAATAGAACGTTGTCTGCCTTAATGGCCCGCGACCATAAAAACAATGCAGTCAATATTTTGAATCCTAATTTTTAATGATGTGAATTTAACTACAGAAGAAGTAGTAAGTGGTTCATTCACCAATTAACAACAACTCATTTGTACAGGGAACCAGGAGAACTGAGGGGGCATTAATCCCTTCACTTTCTATAAAAGAATTCTAAAAGTACAATTTTTCCACGAAAAAAATCATACGTCTTCTGAGCCATAACCATTCGGCTATTCAATTGTCGTTGCAAAGGTTTAAATAGTATTAATATTTAATAGGGAACTAACAATCCAGTTAATAACTCTCTTCAAAAATCATTAACGAGAACACTGTAAGTGAAAAAAAATATATATTAAAAATACACTTGGAAAAACCTTTGCACACAATTCTCACAGACGTGCATTTTCCCACCTTCTTTACCAGGATATGTTATATTTTTATGTATTTTTCATAAAATTTACTTTTATTCTAAGAACTTCATTGTTTCAGTTCTCTTATAATTTATTTTTACCTTTTGGAGCAATCGTTTTTTTTCTTTTTTTGAAACGGGATCATTCTTACCGCTTGCGACATACCCAAAATGCATCGCAGTCACGCATAATTTTCATATGCTTTGCAATCTGGCTCTGTTTCGGATACAAAAAAATCACCGGCAGAGACTAGAGCCCTATAGTTGGTTAATGGTGTGTGATCATATGGTTGTATAGTTAGATATCTCTATTAGCCCACAAATGCTTAAACAGATGGAAGTCATGTGATTGTGGGAGGCCTACGGAGTACTATACGGCTGTCCTATAGCTGCAATTATAATTCAGTGGCATAAAACTATCAGGAAGGAAACTGCAAAGATTCCTTCCCGTATTTATTTATAGAAACTATTGTACTTTGTTTTACAGAAAAACTTACGTTTTTTAACGGAATGTGTTTTTATTCTAGAGAGGATAATATTCTTCCAACTGAAACACAAGACTTGACCGAACTCGTCAAGGTAAGGTGCAAACACTTGATTTACGTTTCTTTAAATATATTGATCAAAAGTAACCATTAGTTATTTCTTCGATTTCCTACAGAATGCAAATATTCCCTTTATCCATATAGTATTTTTTTTCTTTCATATTTATTAATGTTAATCAATACTGACTTGCGTAGTGCTATTCCTTCGAGTACAATATTAGATACTATCTTAAGTATATTGAAAACAATGGGAAAAAAAAGAAAAATTTACTACTTATAATTCACAATTTAGTTAAAAAGAAAAATTATTAATTTTTTTATTCTTAGCTTTTTGTCTGTTCGTTGGTTACGTAGAAACAGCTGAGTAAATTTATGCACAAAACTAATTGCCGGATATAAAACACGAGAACTGATTTGAATTCCTTATTACCTCGGAGGAGTTTCCGTCAATCACTTTTCAGCTTCACTGTGTTTTCAAAGGCAATCAAACAGGTTTTGGTTTTTCCATTTCCGCTTGCTTTTGTAATGATTCATAAGATTTTGTTATCACTTTTTTCTTTCCTTTCACTAAGATACTAAATTGTTGCTCCTAATTATGTTCTATTTTGACTTTATTTTCTATTTTGACTTATTGTTCTATTTTGACTTTATTATTTATTTCTATTTTACTTTATTTGACATTATTCATTGACTTTACTTATTTATTATTAATATTACATTATTTTTCAAGTTATTTCGTATGTTTGATAGGATTTACAATCAATCAAACGATAATTTGAAATTTTGTATAATCATATAGATGGTACAAGTCATCAAAAGTAAAATTATAACTTTTTACTGATTTTCTACAAAATAGGATGTATATTTTAACGTGTGTATTATCTGGTATCTAAGGAATGCCAAACTGTTAGGACATTAAAAAAAAAAAAGAATTGTTACTACGCTCTGAAACCTTGAAAGTTTGTAATGTGTTCAAGAAACAAAATAGCCATTGTCGATGCAAATTGCAGTGATATGATTTACACAACTGTATTCTGCGGCTTTCTGGGCAATTTGTCCCATACCTCTGTCAGAGCATAAATGTGGGAGCCCTTGCTTATTTGCAGGGCATTCTCAATCCTCGAATAATCCTCACACATTTTAATGGATTCAAATCAGAAGAACGTGCTGGTCATATGAAGTGTTGCATATTCTCACTCCATACACAATACTTGACAGCCACCGTTCGATTGGCATGTTGCGTTCATAAAAATAAAATTTTTCATCGACAGTACTTCTAAACAAGCAAGCATGAGGCAGCCATTGGCCAGTCATAGTCCCAGTTGGAAGCACATGGAGGGGCGTACCGTCATTAATCATAACCCATACTATAACACTACAAGTAGGATATCAGTAACTTTTCTGGTATATTTGCTTGACTACACGCTATACCAACCTCACGCCAGATTATTGGGCGTAGACAATCAGAGGAAAGACTGAATCTTGCCTCATCTGAGAATAGTACGCAAGCCTAGTCGCTCCAGTTGCGATGCTGAAGACGCCATTGCAAACAGGAGGATACGGTGACGTTTGGACAATGGTATGTAAACAGCAACAGGTTGATGGGGATATAGTCCTATTGCTTAAAAGCAGTTTTACCTGCTAAAAGCCTCTGAATACAGCTTAAATGCAGGCTGCACCGTTCCTTTTTTGTCGATAACAGGTGTCGAACATAGAAGATAACCGTGACGTCTGCTACAGTGGTTTGAAATGACTTCTAAAGCCTTGAAACAACACTCTTTTGCGACAGCTGTTACTTTTTAATTTTCTTCTACCTTAACGATAACTCCTAAACTCATCTAAATGTTAGCAGGAAGACATATAGTCAATTCGTTATTTGATTGTCTTCCGTTCAACTCTGGTTTTGAACAACAATACTCGCCTAATTCTTTATCTCTAATACGTTGTGTCATGTGACAAACCAATTCGACAACACCAAATTTGCATATACGTCTCACTGTTTCTCACACTTATGTTAATTTCCATATATTCCTATTATCAATTTTCTAGTTGCTATCCTTGCTATTATAGCAATTATCCAGCAGTGTATTTTTAATACAAATGCAAGAAAGCCTGATCATTCGTTAAAACAGATGTAGTTTGTTATGTAAAACTAAACTCAGTGGCGTGACACCCCATAGAGGGCCAAGGCCTACTGTGCCCATCTCAGTTTTCTTGACCTTGGGGCTCTGGGGGGGCAGGAGCAGATGTTCCGGTCAGGTGGTCAGCCGAACGCGGAACCCCCAGTGTTTAGTTCCCAAGCATGCTTGGTACTCATTTATCGAACCACTGAAGGGATGAAAGGCTGAGTCAACCTTGCCCGGCCCAAGGATCGCACCAGGGACCTGTGGCACGACAGCGCAGCGATACCGCTCAGCCACCGGGCGTCAGTTTGTTATGTAGCTCGTTAAAAATTCTATAAATTAAATTATTTCTGATTCTAGAAACTGATGGAGGAAAATACATGCCTTAAGAAGAATTGTATGACTATGGAAAAAGATAAATTGATTCTGAAAAGGGCTGTAGTAAGTATTTTTTTTTATTTTTTTATTATTCATTGGAAGAAAAATTTTATTGCCAAAGTAAATTCAAGTAAACCATTTAGCATCAACATTTCATTAATCACTCAATATTGTTATTCATTAATTTAATCAAATTGAAAAAAAAATTATAATTATTATTCCGAATTACCGTCCTCTTAAACTACGACTCGTGTCAATGACCTTTAACCACGTCAACCCCCCCTTACCGAACCTCCCCTTTCTTCACACCAACACACACCTACCTCCCCGCCTTGCCTACAATAAACCTATGCATACTGCTGACGCTTATATTTAACTAATAAGACTAATATTTAACTTTCTTCATTTGCCCGAGATAATTTGGGATAGTAAACGTAAATGAAATATTTTTACACATAAGAAAATTAAAATTTCAACTTAGAACTTGTGTATTATATTTCGTTTTAGTTCTTTGTAATTATTATGAAATTTTAAAAATAGGAAGCTAATTTGAACAAAATAGGTTAAAATATGTTAATAGTTAATTTTAATAAAATACAGATTTATAATTATGTTACAGATAAAAAAATTTATTTTAACCAGCCCCAAAGAACATTAAATGGTATGTGTAAACCTAAATAAATACTGTGACAAGCACATAAATTACAGTATTAAATATCGAAAAGATCAAAACCGAAACAACAGTGTATTAATTTACGAATTCCAAATTAAGAAAAAAAATTTCTTAGTTGCAGGAGGAACTCGCCGATCATCATACGTCTGGAAGCCATGAGAGAAGTAAGTTTCTTTAATGCACTATTTGCCCTAATGTAAAGTGGATAAGTGTCATGGGGATAATTGTAATACAATTCATATATTTAAGGACGGTAATAAGAGAGCACCTCGCGGAACTGATTAATCAGTTTGTATGAGAGCATTTTATTAGCATATCTATTAGTGCAATTATTCAATACCAATTAACTAGTATATAATGCATGTTAACTTGACTCTATCTTGGGATATCTTTTCATAGATGAAGTTGACATTGTCGATAATATTCTCCCCTCACTGGTAACGTGATTCGAACCTACCTTAAGAGTTACTCCCAACTTGATATGTACACTACTACTTCGATGGATAGTGTCCAAGATGAATAGCTTATTTGTGACCTTGAAATGTTACTATTAATTCTCAATCACACACCACTAAATCTTGTCACATTCAACAACTAGTAGCATCTCTGGAGCGACCACGCGCACAATCGTGAACTTAATAGAGCTCTTGCGACGATTATCCAAAATCCGGTAAATTTAATACAGTTCTTCTGACCTCACGAAGAAAACGGCAATGAATCAACTTGTGTCATCCGTTCATAGAATTATATCTGTGATGAATTACATCACAATATTTACCAAAAAATAATGGTTGATAAATAATATGGGGATTTTGAAATCACAAGGAATTTGAAAACCAAATGGAAATTGATAGTTATAAATACCAATGGTGAAATTGGCATTCATAAATAGGGTCAAAAAGTGATTACTCAACATTGGAAATCGTATATCGTAATGTCGTGGGTATTTTGAAACCATTTGAAAATTCGTAGCAGTTTGAAAAAGCGATCAGGGAAAAAAAATAAAGATTTACAATGAAATCAACGTAAAGTTGAGCGCTTAAAAAAGTGACTACTTTAATTTATTTTTTATATTATAACCATCGTTAAACAGCCGACCCAATTGTGGGTTTACGACTACTAATGTTCAACTCCGTAACCATGTAATTTTGAACCCATCCGGAAGACAAGGAAACTCCCGGATCATTACCCCCACAGGTGTGATTTGTTATGGATACATGGAGGACTCCGTGACTCAACAGAGGTAACGTGCATCAGTTACCATTTAGTACACAGGGAGCCTTTGATCGCAGGGGGTCAAACCCATGACCTCTTGGACATGTGCCCAGTGCCCTACCAACCAGGCTATCCCCGCCCTGATGACTTTATTGTATGTTTAAAATTTTTCAATTCTTTTTATTTTTCAAAAAAAAAAATTAGTAAATATTGAACTGCGAATCACATATGAGTAGTCGACAAGACACACCCTGTGCAGTGCACTCCTAAACTTAGTTTGTATATCAAATATTTGCGTAGCCCAGAAAAAAATCACGCGAATTCGAACTATACTTAACAGAACAGAAGCGGCAAAAAAGTTTTACTCTATGAAAGTATTTAATTCTTTTAAAAGGATCATGGTAATGTAATTATCCTTATTGCACAAGTTAAAACATACTTATACATTTGAAAAAAAGCTTTTATTTTCTTATGTGTATAGCAGGGGGGGGGGAAATATTACACCTAATCGTTACCGATAATAAAATTCGTAAGTATGATGTACTTGCGTGTGCACTCCTAAATGTTAATTTTACTTTTTGCGTATTTCACCATGCCTCCAGAACTTTTGAATCGAAATGTCTGCACACAATTATAAAATTGATGTACCCAATGATAATTCCACAAAAAAGTAACTTAAAAAAATATTTATTATTTCTTTATTTAATTCTTAATTTAATATTAGTCGGAAAAAATAATTAAATTTTTTTTAAAAAATTAACTTGAATCGTAAGGTGTTTTACATCATTTAAAATTAAGGTGTTTTGCACCATAAAAGTGCTTTACACATATATGAATATATTTCAAATATCCAAATCAGTCGGGAAAAATTATGTTTTTTCAGAGAAAGTATGTTTTTGTGCCTAATTTTGCAACTTAAAATATACGACCCAATATTGGGTTTTCGAGTACTATCTACTATTGCTCAACTCCGTAGCCTTGTAATTTTGAACCAATCCAGAAAACAAGGAAACTCCTGGATCAGTACCCCCAGAGGTATTGATTTGTTGTGGGAACATGGAGGACTTTGAGACTCGACAGATTTAACGTGCATCAGTCACCATTTACTACACGGGGAGTCTTCGGCCGGCGAGGATCGAACCCACGA